GCAACGCCACTTACAATTTCTTTCGATGACATTGGACTTACACCACTTTCAAAATAAACGGCTCAAATAAAAATCACAATTTTTTATTACTTTAAGTCAATTTTGAAAATGGTCTAAGTCAATTCAAGCTTTAAAAACAACATTTTCCTATGAAATTCACACAAAATTTTCATATCTATAATAAATTTCCATTATATAATCAAGACTAATAAAATTATAAATTAAAATGTCGCATAATGTAAAAATATTTTTTAATTTATTCAAATGCGATTCATGAAATATCTCGAAACACAAGAAATATATGACTTAGACCACTTTCATAATTATGAACACATATAACACTTACTTTTCACGTTGAAAACAATACTGAATATCTCTGTATCAATGGAATTTGTAAACTCGTAGAAAATACGATTAAATCAAAGTACAGAAAATAATTGAAAAATAGATATGTTATGTTAATTTTTGTAAAATATAATTTTATATGAAAATTGTCCACTTTGGAAATGCGAGTACTTTTTTCAATGCTACAAAATTTGTCTTACGTGTCAAACTTTTGAAATGTAATGCAACAATGGGCGAAAGATAATCTGGCTGGCCAGTGAATGGGAAATATTCAATTGGAAATCCAGGGCTTGGAATATATTCTATTTCTCCAATATGTTCTTTATCGACATTGTTCGCTCCGTTGCACGATAACCAAATGTAAAACTGAAAAATGTATTTATTATATCAACATAATTTGTAATTCGACATATTATCGCACTTGGACAAATTTTATTTTGAAATGAAACGAAGAAATACCGATTTGAAATCAATAATTTTGAACCGTTATTTGTTATTTGAAAGTAAAGATAATATCGGTCCATTAGTAATAATAATAATTTCAAATAATAAATTATTTTGTTATTTTATAATTTCAAGTATGATAAAAGAAATAATCCTCGACATAAGATGCAATAAAAAGATTTCAATTTGAATGACCTTTACATAAATATTCTTCTGTAAGCAAAACTCTTTCCTCAAAAAGTTCATGCTTAAAAAAGAAAATAATCGTTCCACTGACTGGTCTGGCAAATGGAAGAAGGGTATTATTATTCAGAAAAATGTTTTTTAATATCGGGTAATCGTTTAACATAATCAGATTGGTTCTTTTATCTTGCAGAAATATCAATGAAGATGACAATATAAACCAAAATAATAATTTTTAATTAACATTGAAATAAACACTGAATAAATAAATAAAAAATGTAAAACTGCGATGAAATGATACTTCCACGAAGTAGAAATCCATAGAAAACACAGTTTTATTTATTATTTTCCTATACCAAAATCTACTATTTTCTTATTATAAAACGTTTAATTTGTATTTAAAATACCTTCTCCGACTTTTGTATTGCCTTTTTCAAACTGTCTGGTATATTTTCTGGCAAACTAGAAGATTGATTATAACAATCGGGCACCCAATCGAATCGCTATAAGACATTTAAATGTAGTGCAAATACAGTAACATACGTTCTACGACTATTCTCTAAAATTACTTTATTAAATTTCACAAGAACACAAGGTTGCAACGGGTTTGAATATCCATATGGATACTTGCTACAAGCTCCGAGACTTTCTATGTTGAAATAACACGGCTTGTGCGGATGATTCGATTGGAAATTGTCATCTTGACAATTGACATCGTATTTCGATACATTTTTATTGTACTCTAAAATGAAAAATGAGTATGTACTCATATATTTGTCGCATATTTGCAGTCGAAAATAAATAAAATAACACGGATACAAATGCAGTGAATCTGTATAATCAATTTGTTAAATGATCCGTTCTGGGATAAATTGATCATAGCTACAGTCTAGAATAGTTTTCTGAATAATTACTGGTTCATAAGTAGTACAATATGTTTTACGTAAAATGTCGCCCCTAAAAAAACTTACAACTATATCACTAAAACTTACAATTAATAACTTAAAAAGAATTGATTTAGGCACCAATA